TGTCTTCTATGTCAGCCAACCCGCTCTCTCTATGGTACTTTGCCTTTAGGTTTGTGACGTCTGCCGGTATGTAGGGCATTCTACTCGGCCTACCATCTTCAATGTGGATGAGGGATAGTATTTGGACCATTCTTGATGGACCGACGTTACAATCATGTAGCAGCTTTAAGAATTTCTTCTCGAGGAGGGTGAATCCTCTATGGGCGCTCAGAAATTTTACCAGGTCAAACTTCTTTATGAGTTCGTGGTTGTGCTCGTCAAAATATTGAGTGACCACCCATCATGCTTCGTCTACATTTAGCTTACACTGGACAGGGCATTCCGTCTTGACAATGATACCTCTTTTTTGTTCCGGAATGACAGGCGCAACACCTTTACCCTTCTTGTTCCTTCGGGCTTTGTAGCACCTCATCTCACCTCTACTGTACTCCCTAGTTTTTTTAATTTTCCTATGGTATTTGGTGTTGACCGCAAACCCATGGAACATTGCATATCTCTGGTAGAATTCTTTGGCATCTTCGAACGAATCAAATCTCTGTCCAACATACGGCGGCTGAGGTACCATGATTTCTGATTGCCCACCATCTTCATCCCCTTGTGCTTTATCATCAGTTTCATCATTCACTTCAGTATCGGCGGCTGTTTTATCTGCTTGAGTGTTGCTTGTGATGGTGTGCAAATGTGTGCTTGTCGGCATTGCTGGAACGATTGTCATTTCCGACACTGACTCCGCATTGTTTGTGGCATGATTGTTGGCTGGCTGGTTGAACGCTTCCTCCGTGCGCTCAGAGCTTCTCGTAGTAGATGTCCCCACGCCACTGTTGATTGTAGTTGAAGGTCCTGTAATTAAAAAACAGGTACAAGGGTAAGCATTGCTTGGATGGCATGTTTATCATAACGGAATACAACAGCTGCATGTGATCCTAACAGACATCATTCACACAGCAAGCCGTGAAATCTACATATGGCCATGCATGGCAACTGTATTTCTCCAGTCATGGCAGCTACAGTCCAACAAAGATGGCAACTACTGTTGCCAAGACATGGCAACCTGCATTTTTTTAGCATCAAAACTTTCGATTCTATAGCCATGGCAGCTACAGTCCAACAAAGATGTCAACTACTGTTGCCAAGACATGACAACCAACATCTTTTTTGGCATCAAAACTTGTACTCTAGGTACGAGTTCACTAGTCAAATGTAATCAATCATTAATGTTGCACACAATCATATTGCAGTTGGCAAATCCTGAACACAATAGATGACTTTTTGCACGCGACCACTTGGTAGCATTTTTTGTTTGTTTTTTCCATCACCATCCATGACAAATCTACTTTTTCCTCCCATGCTTTTTCCACAAAAGCAAATGAACTACTGTTTTTCTGGTTCACATTTTTTTACCTTGTTGTGCCGCATGTGCTTATCGTATCTGGTTTATCATTCCAATTTGATGTACTCTATCTGCAATAGTGTTGTCCTGCAACTATGAAGCTTGCCATGAGACGTTTGCCGATGTGGTTGCACCATAACAACCTGTGATCATGTTAGCAGTTGGTCAATGCATGGCAAATGTAGTTTGTACAACATGGCACATGTAGCGGTGCATCCATGCCACACATATTTGTTCACACCTGTCATTCACAGTTGTTTAGACATTTGCAATCACATTTTTATGCCACATGGCAACTGCAGCTGTCCAGTCATGGCAACTGCAGTTATCCAGGCATGGCAACTGCAGTTGTCCAGGCATGGCAACCCCAATGTCACCTATGTTCTTTATCCTAATTCACTGTCCACAACTTCACTTCATGAACTCACCTGTGTACGACGTTGATGGCAGGTACATGGTTACCACCTGATGCCACGTGCTGCACGAAGGTCCTACATTTTTTCCCATATAACTCATGAGTCTTTTGCCATCCTTGCAAGTGTAATTTCATGGCCACACCAGTATGTTTCTTTTTCGTATGCGTTACCTTGATTTGCCACATTAGCTACTTGAAGTTGGTCCCTCGTACATTTATCAGCGTTAGCACCCTGTGACTGAATTGCCATGGTATTCCCCTGAGTGTGGTTGAGTCATAAGAACCTGCGAAAAATGACATTGTATGACATAAGTAGAATGGCATCTTCCTCGTCACAAACATGTCAATTGTTCCTTCTTTTTTATCATGCATCATCCTGATGCCCGCGTACTGCTCTAGTAGTGGCAGCAACGGCCCTGCAGAAATTAGTTGATTGTACTCTACTGCATCCCAAGGGGTGTTTGCGGCCTTTGGGAAAATCAAGAATCGGTGTTGTCTTCGTGATTCATTTCTTCCGCTTTTTTCCACTATTGTGTTTTCAGTCACTGCATGAACAAGAACGCATCAACAATTCGCAAAATGCATTCTTGTTGTTTGCACATAGAAGATAACACAGCAATCTTATCACATTTCCTGCGTAGGCAACCAACAAATCATGGCAAAGTAGGACATGCATATTGAGTCTGTTTTCTAAAATCTGGACGGCAGCTATCATTTTGAAGCGATGGCAACAGTCAATAAAATAGGATGGCAAACAAGAACATAACGTGGTGGCAGCTAACGACAATGATAGGTGGCAACTGATGTTATAGACAAGTGGCAATTATTTTTCCTCCCTCCCTATGCCAAATTCCTCCCTTCTCTCCCTATTTTTAGTGATTCCTACGCATCCTTCATTATCAACTACTCGCACCAAGCCAGCCCATAAACTTAGCTCAACTCTAGCATAGTATATGGCAGATCTGGCATATGTCGGTGGGCAAATGTGAATACACACAAAATTGTGGCATGTTTGCCCTGACAACGTGGATCTAGTCGCCTTCTTCGTCGGCAATGTGCAATTTCAAATTTCTGGACAGAAGAAGGGCGAGAAACAGAAGGAGATCGGAGATCCACCTGTTTTTAGCTTGTCGTCTTGGGAGGGCGGGGTTGGGGTGGGGGTGGGTGGTTAGCGGTGGGGAGGCGCTAGAGATCTGCTAGCAACCAGAGAAGAAAGGCGATAAGGAAGGGGATCGAGAGGTAGTAGACGACGGCGGTAGGTCGATCTGGGGATCGAAAGGAGTCTGGGACGACTGGCGTATTGGGTCGTGCGGGCAGCGCGGTGGTACACCCGGACGTGTGGGCGATTTTGCCACACACCGGACGTGCAGGTTGTGACTGCGCGCGCCGGACGCGGTCGTGCGGGCGGGGTCGTCTCCATTCCACACAAGGTGTGCGGCACAACCAGCCGATATGCCACACGTGTGGCAGTTATCGGCATCCTAAAGATAGTCTCCTTCATACTTTCCTGTGTTTATCTATTTTTACGTGTTCAACTACTTCGTCTACGGCATTTGCTCTCGCTTCGCAATCTCGAACCGGACTCGCCGACGGAGCTGCGGAACATAAACAAAACGCAAGGGGGAGGAGGGAGAAGCTTAATTCGAATTCTGTCGCCTCTCTCTCCTCGGACTCTTCTCCCCCTCGCTAGCCGGCGCCGCAATAGATCGCCGTTCGCCAGTGCCGGAGCAGGCCCCCCATTCCGTTCCCTCTTCCCCGCGAGGTAGTAGCGCCGTTCTCATGGCACCATTGCTAGCTGTTTCATCTATTTTCTTCATGCGTGGATTTTTTTTCCCCATAGCTCTTGGGTGGCGGAAGATTGGGCCTTTGGAGGGAGGTTCCCGAGATGTTCGTCCAATGAGTCCGCACTCGATTCCGTTCCAGTGGTTCAAATGCTAGAGCAGGAGCGGCCGGAGGCGCAGGGGTTTCGCTACCTGCCTGCTTCGGGCATCTAGGGTTGCTTCTCGATCTAGGGCGGTTTCGTGCCGTGCAGATGCGATTCATTCTTGGCTCCTCCCACATTAGAGCGTGTGTTTGATAGACAGAACCGGACCCATAAGGTTCTCGGCATTTCCCCTCTGTGACTGCTCCTTGTGCGTAATTAACTGCCATTAATGGAGCTCGAGATGGTGTCATTAACGGGGAGATGATTATGTATGCCTTGTTGTAGTAGGTTTCAGTAGAGATATGGATTCCTCTACTCATGGCTCAGCTCATGATTTGCTCAAGAGTAAAGTTTTGTTACTACTTCCTCGGTCCCAAAATAAGTGTCTTAACCTTAGTACAACTTTGTACTAGAGTTAGTACAAAGTTGAGACACTTATTTTGGGATGGAGGGAGTACTATTTAGTACTTCTCCTCTAGCAGTGTCAGATTCTCCCCTATCAACCTGCGCGTGTTTGTTTATTATTGGTGAACCATTTGCGCCTATGTTACGCAATTACTCCCTCCGTCCCATAATATAGAAGCATTTTTGACACTACTGTAGTGTCAAAAACGCTCTTATATTATGGGACGGATGGAGTAGAAAATTCGCTTCTCTCAGCAAGGTACTATAGTCAGTACTTTCTACACATTAGGGTTTATCTGCAAGGTTTTCTATGTTCACATTTTAATAATGGTTTGCCTTTTTCTTCCCCAAAAGAGACCATGCTTCCCAAAACGGGTAAGCATTAATTCCATGCACTAGAAGCACAAGTGCAAAAATGGTTAAAGATGCACTCCAAATAGCACTCATTTTTAGAATGTTGCAACTTAAAAGCTTAATATGATACCTAACATCAGCAAGTTCTTTGAAACTTGTGATGTGTTGGTGCAGGTCTAGTAAGAACTAAAAAGGCCCGGTCTACACTTGATTGGATCTTATGAGGCCCTAGCCCATGTACTCTTATAATTTCTGCTCCACTCCCCATCAGGGCCCTGTCTCTTTCAAAGCCTTTAGGCAGTTTCCAATCATGTAACGAGACTAATGGAATTAAGCAATTGTGCCTGTGTTCGAAAGATGGTTTGATGGGGCAATGTTCTTCTGAACAGTGCTAGTAGAAAGTACTGACTATGAGTTCACTGGCAATCATTTCCCCCTTGATAATCCTCAAGTTAATAAGGCAAATATTTGTCCTTTTTTAGCAGGTCTAGTACAACCTCCGGAGTTTTCCCATGGCCTCGGCTGCTTATACTGATGATTCTGGTTCCGAGGTTATTGATCCTCCAAAGTCTGAGGTACTGGATGTTGCTGAACTTGTCGGCGATCATATCCAGCTTACACAAAAATCAAATGTGGTAGCTTCTAGCAGCGTTCGCGAACTTTTGGAATGCCCTGTCTGCTTGAGTGCCATGTACCCTCCTATACATCAGGTGTGCATTTGTGCTGCTCCAGCGCATTCATTTAGTTTATGTTCTGTTCCATTGAGTGCCATGGAAAAAACTTATGTTGTGCATGTATATGCTCTGTTCCGTTGTTGAAATGTTATTTCATATGCTTACAAAAAAAAGAGTTGACTAAATACATTGTGCAACCCACACATTCTTTTACTGTATTGTAACACACCTTTTGTGTATGCAGTGCTCTAATGGCCATACATTGTGCTCTGGATGCAAGCCAAGGGTTCACAATCGCTGTCCAACTTGTAGGCATGAACTGGGTAACATAAGATGCCTTGCTCTTGAGAAGGTGGCTGCATCTCTTGAGCTTCCATGCAAGTACCAGAACTTTGGTTGCTTAGGCATTTACCCATACTACTGCAAGCTGAAGCATGAGTCACAGTGCCAATATAGGCCTTATAGTTGTCCATACGCTGGATCTGAATGTACAGTTGGTGGTGACATTCCATACTTGGTAAATCATTTGAAAGATGATCACAAAGTTGACATGCATAGCGGAAGCACTTTCAACCATCGCTATGTCAAGTCAAATCCTCATGAAGTTGAGAATGCGACCTGGATGCTTACGGTATTAATCATCAACACCAACATGTGGACTAAGAATTTCCATGTAGCATCTTTCTACTGCCTTTACATCTTGTGAAGATGCAAAATAAAACAAGAATACCTAGGAAGAACCAGATATCATATCAATTCAAATAAGCACTCTGAAACCTGTGTGGTGGGTGTGTGTTGTACACCAATACTTCCCACCACCAAGTGAGAAATGATTAGTTCCCTTTCTGCAAAGATACTACGTTCATTTTTTGCATAGAAACATATGGAGACATTTTTGTAAACTAAAGGAGAAATTGTCCTATTCTTAAATTATGATTATTGTACTTGTTTTTATATGCCAATTATTTGTCATGCAGTATAAAACAAAATGGTGATCATGTTGCATACTTGTTGGACCATAATAGTTGCTCATCGTATTCTTAAATATTTAATGAAGACACTGCACATGCCCAGATCCACCTGCATCTGTTTCCAATTTTAACGGTCTGCCTGTCTTGCAGCAGATTTAACAACATTCCAGATGTCCTCTTTATCCTTTACATTTCCTCAATTCACTGTTTGAAGTGCAATCCAATTTTGTTACGTTTTTTCTTTCTATTAAGCTAAGTAAACAGATAGAGTTTCTCCATGTAGGTTTTCAGCTGCTTTGGCCAGTACTTCTGCCTGCATTTCGAGGCATTTCAGTTGGGCATGGCACCTGTGTACATCGCTTTCCTGAGGTTCATGGGAGATGATGCGGAAGCAAAGAAGTACAGCTACAGCCTGGAGGTAGGAGGTGGTGGGCGCAAGATGATCTTTCAAGGGGTTCCCCGGAGCATCCGAGACGGCCATCGGAAGGTCAGAGATAGCTATGATGGGCTAATAATCCAACGGAACATGGCCTTGTTCTTCTCTGGTGGTGAGAGGAAGGAGCTTAAATTGAGGGTCACCGGGAGGATTTGGAAAGAAGAGTGAAATGATCCAGCCGATTCATCCATTTCCCTGGTATGAATGAGCCCATGGGTCGCATCATGAAAACTGTATTTCCTAGGGGCTGATTCTGAAGCGTGCAAATTGTAATACCTGTAGCCTGTTTTAGCCATCGTCTGCTCGATTGGTGTCTGCTCAGATAACCTGGGTGACAGTGATACTGTTGTAGGAATCTCCTCTTTGCCATTCTGTAGCATAGGGGAGCCTATTGGCAACACATGAGATGTAAAGGTTCTATGTAGCTTTCGTTCTCTGTTCCAAACTCCGTTTCCATGATTCATTTAAGAGGATGTGTAACAGCTTGAGAATTAGAACGTGGATTTTATCATGATGAAATGCAAGAAACATTGGAGTTGGCGTTGCAAACTAATTTCAGGAATGTGTCCTTTTGAGCGTGAATCGAGATGGCTCTTGTCAACGCCATGCCAACTGTTCTGACGCTAATAAAATGGCTCGCTCCAGCTTACAGAACCAATGTTGGGGCTCCTACCCACACATTAGCGCACACAGCAACGTTGGGGCTGTTTATTTTTATTTTTACCTTTTTGAGAAGAGAAAGATAATACTCCCTCTAGTGATCCAAACGCTCTTCTATTTCTTTACAGAGGGAGTACTGAGATGAGGATCTAAACGCTCTTCTATATCTTTACAGAGGGAGTACTGAGATGAGGGACGTGTAGGATTCTTGATGGTGTTAAATGAAATCATGTAATGTTTCAAAGCAGCAACATATCTATGTACCTACCTTGAGGTCAAGTCAACGCAAACCAACCATTGTGCTAAAGATGGAGAGAAAATATGGATAATATGCATGCAACGAACGATGATTAGCAGAAACCCAGTTACTTACATTAATCAAACAAATTCAATGGAGTACATTTGGTACATACAAACATATAATCTAATCACAGACCCGCGAAAGGCCATTCTTTTGGCTTCACAACTACGTATATAGGGACAAGAACTCCATTGTTCTCGTCCGCCAAGCCAAGCACAAGCAGCAATTGAGTGTCCATGACCACGAGAATTCAGAAACTGCATGTCTCTAATTCTTGCAGTACTACCATTTATAGGAGGCATAGCAAGCGATCAAGAAGAACAAGCGGGACATCGTACCAAGCCGTTCTCGTTGCAGAGGCCGCAGCAGCTGGTGCGTCCTTCCTCCTCCACGAAAACCTTGCGGGAGCCAGCGCAGGCGGGGCAGGGCACGAAGCGGACACCCCCGCAGGCGTCGCAAACGAAGGCCGGGTCCTGCCCCGCGGCGCCTTCGAGGAGGCGCCGCAGCTCGCCGGCCTCGTGCAGCTGCCTCGCCTCTTCGGCGCCGCCGACGAGCCGGCCCCCGACGAAGAGCTGAGGGAGGGAGAAGGCGCGGCCCCGCGCCGCGAGCAGCCCCTGGAGCTCCCGCCGGAGCGCGGCGTCCATGGACAAGTCGCGCTCGTCCACGGCCACGCGGAAGCCGCGCAGCACGGCGCGCACCGCGGAGCAGTCGGTGAAGGTGCGCCGCACGCCGCGGAGCGACGTCGTGTAGAGCACCACCGCCGGCCGCGGGGCACGCACGTCAGGGAGCTGGTGGCGCTGCGCAGGCTGCAGGCGGCGCCCCTGGCCCTGGTAGGGGTGGTGGTACGTCAGCGACCGCCCCAGCTGGTGCGGCTGCGGCTTCTTGGCGTACGGCCAGGATGAACCGCCGCCGGCGACCTCCTCCATATCGGATGGCCTCCTCGGACAAGAGGATAGCTAGGGTTCCTGCGGGGCGCCGAGCCGGATCCTCTGACTTTCTCAAGAACTAGACAAGTCAGGGATCGCCTCCTCACACAAGAGTACAGCGTGTTTGTTTGGTTAAAGATAATTAAAGAAACGAGAGCGAATGGGAATTTAGCGGCGGACACAGGAAGTATAATGTGAAAAGATTACTCACAAAGTGATAGCATGAACATGGATATTTTAAATTAGTGCATTTTATGGAATATATTTCGACAAAAGAATAATGTGAAAGGTAATTCAAAATCTATGAACATGGACAAACTTGTTTTTAAATGTAGATAATAACTAAATCATCCCTGAAATTAGCACAGCCCTTAAAACACCATAGACACAAACAAACGTGACGAAATAGTCATCTATATAGTAGATACAAACCAAGTACATAATAACTATACTTGAAAATTAAAATACACAATCATGCATAGTAAACATAACCAATGTCTACTATCTGTGTTACAATGCACCGAGCTTTCTTTGTATACATTGTGTGTCGAGATCCTTTGTAGACAACTCACTTGCTAGGAAAGCCCGCCTCCACTCAGTAAATTGCTGAACAAACTTCATATCAATCAACCCACCTATTATTTCCGGCGAATATCTGCAAAAATATATATTATAAATGTTGCTTCTAATAATATTTAAACTTTTCTACATATATTAATAACAATCATATGTAATTGATTTGTAGTTGATAATAAGTCATAACCACTCACCATCAAGTGCGCATGCTGGAATATGATCCGGGTTGAATGCAAGGGTGGTGTAATTTGAAGTTTCTAGATTTCCTATTGTCAAGATAAAAAAATATTTAGGTCAACATAACAATACACTTTCTTAGAATATGCAATACACATATTCGTATAGATGCGTCAATTACCGTATTTGCAATCCTTACGAAGCATAGTGGCAAGCCAAATTAGTTACATATAAAAAAGACCAATGAAATGAAAAGATTGTTAATCACGGTTAAAGTAAGTACCTTGTGGTGTAATATTTGTATTTGCTCTTCTTGGTTTGGTAAATTGGTTATTTCTATCTGTTCATTGTAGGTTGTATAGAACTTGCTGAGTTTTTAGTCTCTTCCAGCGACATGACCTTCGGGCTTTTGTTGATATGTTCTTTTTGATGGTCAACAATATCCATATCTATCACTGACACATCTTGCAAAACTGAAATTCATATACAACTATGATTTAAATAGAGGTATAATTTTTTCCGGTAGTATCACAATTCATATGCAACATGCAAAATAAAAGGTTAAAAAGCCTACATCTAAGAATTTTGATAGCCCTGACAACCGTCTAAATACCTCGGTTCTACTTCTCTTGTCCCAAAATAAATGTCTCAATTCTATACTAACTTTAATACAAAATTATACTAAGATTGGGACATTTATTTTGGGGACGAAGTGGGTATATGCTATAATATACTCC